GCGTCTCGTACCTAGAGCGGGTGGCTTCCGGAAGCGCTCCGCGCGGTTTTCTGCGCACCAGTCGTAGAACTTGAGCGTGTGCGGGTGCGAGAGCGCGTGCATCATCTGGACCTCGTTGACGACCTTGTCCATCTGGCCCTTCTCGATGCGCTTGATGGCGACGTAGTTCACCGTCTTCTTCTGGCGGCCCTTGAAGACCTGGGACTGGCGCCCGGCGCCGATCTCGTTGAAGATGTGGTACTTGTCCTACGCGCGGCGCGGCGTTGCGAGCGGAGAGAGCGCGGGTCGGGACGCTGGGCGCGCGCCATCGGTTATGGGTCGGCGGCGGGCACCGGCGACGCGGCGACGAGGCGGCGCGCTGCGCGGAGGCGGCCGGTCTCACCGCGGCGCTGCGAGGCTGCCCGAGACGGGCAGCATCGTAAAATTCATTCAAAGCGCTTTTGAATTACATATTCAACTACGATTGCTTTTAATTACTCCATGATGGCGCTCTCCGCTGCCGGGCTGCTCTGACACGAGTGCGCTGCTGGCAAAAAAACCATGTCCGCCCTCACGGCCAAGTCGAGCTCGGGGTTGCTCCTCAGCGCCAGCGCCGGCCGCCTCCTCGAGGCCATGTCCTCCGACTTCGTGGGCTTCACCATCGTGAGCAAGGTGCGGCGCGGGGACCTCGAGGGCGTGCGCTCCTGGCTCCACCACCGCGGCGACGTGAACTTCGTCGTCCACCCGCGGACGAAGTTCACGCTCCTCATGTTCGCCGTCCACGCGTCCGCGCGGCTGCCGGGAGCCGCGGACGTCGCGGCGCTGCTCCTGGCGTCGGGCGCGGACGCCAACGCGACGACGCACGAGCTCGAACCGGCGCGACGCCTTCTTCGAGACGGGTCGGTCCGCGTTGCACTACGCGGCGCTCGATCGCAACGTCCGCGCCGTCGACCTCTTGCTCGCCTACGGCGCCGCGGTCGACCGGACGACGTTCCAAAAGGGCTGGACGCCCCTCGCCGCCGTCTGCGCGTCGCGGCCCGGCCGCCAGCTCCTGTGGGCCGACGACGACGACGACGCGCGCGCCGCGGACGTCGCGGAGCGGCTCTTCGAGGCCGGCGCGACGTCCTCGCCCGACGCGCGCGGGTCGAGCCCGCTCCACCGCGC